ATATATATATGAATATATATATACATATATGCATATAAATCCACACTTATACCTTCCCATTAATATCATAAATAAAAACTAGAGCTTTTACTTCCTCTTGTATGTGTTTTATTTCAGATAACAAAATATTATTTCTTTCATTCATGCATTCTTTTAAATATTTATTTATGTTGTTTAAGCTATTACAGATGTTCCCATTTTCCCCATTGCACACTTTTATTCATCCCTCACCCCCTTCCCCTAGTCCATCACCACACTGTTGTCTGCGTCCATGGGCCAGGTACACAGGTGTTCTCTTGCTACAGCCTTCCCCTTCTCTCACTCATTTCTGTTTCCCCCCTCTCCTCTGACAGCTGTCAGTCTATCCATGTGTCAGTGCCTTTATTTCTATTTTGTTCATCATTTTATTTTGTTCATTGCATTTCCCATATAAGTAACACCATATGGTATTTTTCTTTCACTAGTTGGGCTATTTTGCTTAACATAATATTCTCCAAGTACATCCATATTCTTGCAAAAGGTGAAAGTTTATTTTTTCTTTTTCTTTTCTTTCTTTCTTTCTTTCTTTCTTTCTTTCTTTCTTTCTTTCTTTCTTTCTTTCTTTCTTTCTTTCTTTCTTTCTTTCTTTCTTCTTTTTTTTCACTGCTGAGTCATATTCTCTTGTGTAAATGCACCACAGGTTTTTATCCACTCATCTGCGGATGGGCACTTGGGCTGTTTCCAAGATCTTGGCTTTTGTAAATAACACTATAATGAACACAGGACTGCATCTATCCTTTCCGATCATTTTACCGGGTTTCTTAATATACTTCCAGAAGTGGACTTGCAGGGCCAAAAGGCAATTCTGGTTTTAAATTTTTGAGAAAACTCCATGCTGCTTTCCACAATGGCTCTACCAGTCTGTTGGCCAGAAAGGATTGTCATGAAATAGTCAATGTGATGAAAAGAAAGTACTTGCAACCAAGACTTTTTTAGCCAGCAAAGCTATCACTTAATATTAAAGGCGTTCAGTGAGAAATGAAGAGCTTTCCAGGCAAGAAAAAGCTAAAAGATTTTGTTACCACCAAAGTAGCATTATAGGAAATATTAAAAGACCTGTTTGAAGGGGAAGAAAAACAGAAGAAGAAGCAGAAGGAGGAAGGGGAGGAAGATGAGGAGGAGGAGGAGAACGGGAAAAGGAAGAAGAAGAACAACAACAACAACAATGAGGAGGAGGAGGAGGAACAGGGTTAAAATAATAAATTGATAATTAATACGTACCTATCAATACTCACTTAATTTGTGAATGGCTCAAATGCACCAGTCAACAGACATACAGTAGCTGAATGGATAAGAAATCAAGATCCATACATACAGTGTCTCTAAGGAACAAACTTCAAAATGAAAGATACACACAGACTAAAAGTAAAGAGATGGACAAAGATATTTCTTGCAAGTGGAAATGAAAAAAAAAAAACACTGTGGTAGCAATACTTATATATGGAAAAACAGAGTTTGAAACCAAGCGTGTAGTAAGAGACAAAGAAGGTCACTACGTATAGCTAAAGGGACCAATGCAAGAAGGGGCTAGAACTGCTGTAAACATCTATGCACCCATGCTAGAAGCACTTAAAAGTGTAAAGCAGATTCTGATGGACATAGGGAGAGAGACTGAGAGGAATAGAGTCAACATTTTTTCATGGAAAAGATTTTAGCCTGTGAGAATGAACATTAATTTAATGGGTTGATGAAATGATTCGGGATGAAGACTAAGGTAAACACAGATCCCTGGGGGTCTGACATATGTAGGAGGTTGCCCAGAGGAATGTTGGTCTTTTCTGGTGGTGTTTTGTCCATGGGTGTCGCTAATTGTGACAAAAATTCTCTTATGAAGACCGTAAGCATCACTCAGAGGGGAAGGGGATGCATCTGAGTTGCTGACAGCAGCTTTGGCAGAATCAGGAGACAGGGCTCTTGCGTTGAGGAACCCATGGACTGTGTTGTCATTGCATTTTGCACAATGGAACCCTTCCTTTGTTGTGCAAGAGCCTCTTGGTTTGCTGTCCTCCCATATGTTCAGGTTTCCTATTGTTCCCCTTGCCCAAGGGCCTGTAGACGGGCGTGGGGAGCATTATAATGATTGAAAGAAGCCAGTCACAGAAAGATAAGCTCCACGTGATTTCACTTAGATGTGGAATCCAATGAGGAAAACCTAGAAACAGCCTGTGGACAGAGAGAACAGACCGACAGCTGCAGAGGGGAGGGGTTAGCAGGCTGCATGAAAAGGGCAGAGGGATGAAGTGAAAAAAATCAAGAAACACAGACAACAGAGTGGTGATCACCAGAAATAAAGGAGGGATGAAGGGAGGTAGAAGGGGGTAAAGGGGGATACATGGTGTTGGAAGGAGACTTGACTTGGGGTGGTGAGCACACAATAGAGTATGCAGAGAATGTACTATAGAATTGTATACCTGAAACCTCTATAATTCTATTAACCAATGTCACTGCAATGAATTCAATAACACTTCCAAAAGAAGCTCCTTGCAGTGCCCAGAATACCCATTCGTTTAGGATAAAGCTGGGAGGGGAGGGTTTACAGTGACTGTCATTGGAAATGCGGTCACAGAGCCGAGCTGCCCACCCCAGAGGCCACAGCGGGTCCCCTCATCCCCACATGTCCTTGCTAACCCCAGGCGTGCTCAGCCCGGTGTCTGTCGCCGAAATCTCTTCCCAGCCCCAGTTCCTGCTCAGGTGTGATAATAGTCAAAATCTTCCCAGGGGTTTTGCTTTCAATCTCAGAAATAGAATCAGGCAGAATACTAAGACCTACACAAACTAATAGTTGTAATGAATGTATCAACATAAACACTAGAAAAATAACATCCACTGTTTTTAAAACAATATTAAAGGATGAGAAAAATGTTATTCAGCAGAAAGAACACTGGGTGTAGAGTTGAAAATGGTTTACATTGTGCACACATCTATTATTTTCCCCAATACAAAATTTCCTGCACATAAATAGCAATTACATATTATGTATTTCCTTCTGTATGTGTGTTGCTTTTACATTTTTCAGTCACAAGCTTCCAGTACCATATTTCAAGATATAAATATACATGGAAGGTAAGAAATGGAAACTGTAACCCTGGTATTATCATACATCTCATCACTTTGACACTAAAAAAATTGAAAACAGTGAGTTTTCATTTTCTCAGTTTTCCATGAAATGAAACAGCACATTTTTGTTGGTACCAATAAGTAGTGACACCAGGGTCCATAGCTAAGACTAAATAAAGGCCTTGGTTTTCATGAAAGTGTTTGAAAGTATCTTCTTCTTCAACACTGTTTTACAATAATAAGAGCAATGGTCACCCTGTGGGGATAGTTGTCTACAATTGAGAGTAGAAGCTCAGTTTCCATGTTCATATACTAAGGCAGGTGCTAAAAAAACAGTGTCAGTGGAGAGGTGGTATCTATGTACAATATGTTACACTTATTTAGAATTGTGAAGTATATAAAACTTCTTAGTATGCTTTTATTCAGTTAATTGTGATATCAACCAGATGGCATGTATGGATGTTATGTGTAGGTGTGTGTATGTGTGTGTGTGTGTGTGTGTATGATATTCTTCTAAAGAATGTACTTTATATGAAGAATACTGTTCTTCTGCATAATAGCTGCAATATGAAGGAAGATTTTAAAAGGTCAAAGATAAAAATTAATTTTATTCCATACATTTATACTACATAATAGCCACAGTATAGCCACCAGTTCCCTTTGCTTCCGTTACCGTATAGCTGTTTTTCGGTTGGATTCAATTTGTTCTTTATTTTACTTTTAGCTTGTGTGTTTGCTTTAGCAAATGATGGAAACTCTATTCCTCTGGAAATATGTCAGTCAGCCTCTGGGCATAGCTCTTTAAAAGAATGTTTATTGTGCATTAAGTACGAATTGTTGCCTCTCCCTGGCCCCGTCCATGTTGTGGGTGCACATCATCTGCCTTGTTTGAACAAAAGAGCAGTGAATCACAGAACAGGCTCCTCTCATCATAAGCTCCCTATGGCAAAACAAGGCTTAGGTTCTGCACAATGACAAATTCTCTTGTTGTCTTCTACCAACATGCCACCGTATTAAACACATTTCATCAAGTGTTCAGCCTAAAGTGCCTCATACAATAAAGATGGACTCAAGTGTACATGAGAAAGTCTTCTGCAAGATGTCTACTGTGCAGGGCTTGACCCATGTTCGGTAAACACACCTTTAATGGATGTCACCTGTCCACACTGCCTAAGACTCTCAACTCTGCACCAGTGAGACACTTCGGTTCATGTTTCTGGGAGGGTACCTTCCAGTAAATGGGGACAGAACACAAGTGAGCTACCCAGGAATTGCCAACTTGATCACCTGTTCAAAGTTCCAGGATGCAAACAAAGCAATGTAGAAGCACGGAGTGTCTGGGGGTTCTATTCTGAAGGAGACTCTGTTGCTAAGACTTGGGTTTTGTTAACGCTTTGACAGACATTGGGAGAGCGTATTAGAAGTCTGTCTGTGTGAGGACCATGTGGGGAGAAGAGAACACAGCACCCACAAATGTTTTCAAAGGTCAGTTTGTTTGCTGCTGTCAAAAATTCTGAATATGCACTCCTCAGATAAGTCATTTCTGTTTACAAAAGTTTGAAACTAATTGGTGCATATATAAATGGTGTCATGTTGAAATATTTAATAAATAACTTTAACTGCCTAACAGATGTTTGTTGACTGACGGCCTCACAGCTTTTTTGTTGACTGAAGGCCTCACTGCACGGCAATGAATTTGTCCACAGCCCTTTCCCTTGTGAAGCTGGTTTACACCTTTCACTGCAATTCTCCTGTAGGCCTTCTCTAGTCAATGCTCCTCAAAATTGATGGTTATGAGGCCCTGAGGCTATTGATGACATGTTTTCTTAGACTGTTCTATTTCCAATGGATATTTGTGTGTTTTTTAAGTTAAGCAACATGCTTCACAGACACACATGGACACATTTGCCATGAAATCAGTTTACTGAATACTCAGAAATGCAGTAATGCCACACAGGCTCTGAAAGGTGACTGTCAGGGAGGATAGAGAGCGAGCACGTGGAGAGAGACACATGATGTTAGAGAGGAACAAGGGGAGAATTCTTCCTACTGTTGACTGGGTTTCATGGAGAAGATGTGCCTTGATTCTCAGGACATAGTCTATAGGAGAGAAAAACAAACCTGAAGGTTACCTGAGTCAATAAGGTAACACCATGACTGGGGAGACTGCAGGATGTGGTGCGTGAAGGGTTAGATGAGGTGATAGTGAATTCCTTGGGCAAATTCCAGGGGGCACTGGGTCCTCCCCATCTCTCTAACATGGAAGGGTGTCTTTGGAATCTCTGCAGGATGCAGGTTTGGTGAGACCTTCCTACTCAGGAGTTTCATTATCCCAAGACACGTGTCAATGGGGATGGTCTCTCTAAAAGAGATTTGCAGGGTCTCCGACTGAATTACACTTCTGTCCTCAAATTCCTAAAGTTCCTGAGGCTTCAAATTTATATCCATCCTGGAAGCTAACATTGTGGATTGTGTTTTTTAAAAGATAGAATAAAGTATATGTTTTCCTGGACCCATGTCATCCCAGAATCTATGTCACATTAGGGAGTTTCTGAAAATCTCAGTGTATGTAATCATATGCAAAGCAGCACATGTCACACAGAGTGGCTGGAATATCTCCCAGTGGCAGTCACAAGGAATTTGCCCCTCGTTGATGCCCAATACAGTCTGCACCTCTTCATAAACTCAGCCTCTTTCCTTCCTGTCACTTCCCATTCAGAACCTGTGTGCAGTTAGTGGGTTTTGTAAAGAGACTGTTTGCCGTAGTCGGGGTTCTCCTTCAGCCCACTTTCCCTGGAGGACTCATCTATGTGGACCAACCATGGAGTGAAGACTGAGTGGAAGATTCGTGCTTTTTCATCTCAGTACCAACTCTTGGTAGTTCCTGCTTCTCCCTCAAAACTAGCTTTTCTATGTGACCCTTCTGTGTTAATGCTTTGTCACCACAGCTCGATCAGTATGAATCCACTTTCTCAATTAGCTATTTCATGGTGCTCAGAAGAAACAAAATGTGTAACATCGCAGGAATGACTCATCTAGCGGCAGAATTTCCTTGTTGAGAGAGAACTTAGTTACGTAACATATACAGCACATGTGAGCTCCAAGATGTGCTTATTAAATTGTTTGAGAAAATAGGTTAACAACAGCTCATTGGTACTTACTGCCTGTGAGAATTGAAGACTCTGTTTTCATTAATTTTGAGGACAGTTGTCTGTGGACAAAAGAAAAGGAACAGGAAATAAAAGGGCAGCCAGTCAGTGCTGCTTCCCACTATGGCCATGGATTATTATTTTTTTTTTAACAGTTTAGTTTGTAAAAAGTAATTTACAGAGAGGAAATTGAAGATAAGTCAACTTGTTTCCCAAGAGAATTTTTCCACACCAGTTAAATGAGATATTCAGAAAACAGGTAGTCACATTACCAGAATTGATTACATTCACGATATTCTCTTCTGGAATATTCATTTCCTGAGTCAGCTCCTTGAACTTCTCGAAGTCTTCCTCATTCACCTGGGGTCCTCTTCCTGCAAGTCACCAGACAAGAAGAAGAAATTGGCTCTTTGGAACTCCTAGGAGTCTCTGAATCCACGAATGAGAAAAAGAAATGGAAGTCAGGAGTTCCCGTGGTGATTTTAAAAGTTGCAGAGGTCATGAGTTCCTTCCAGAGTCAGCTGCCTCATTGAGGTCCAGGAGCACAATGCAGCCCAGTCCATCTCTGTCACGACATGCACTCCTGTGCCAGCTGGGGGCTCCGGAGACAACCATGGGTGCCAGGAAGTTGGGCCCCTGTGTATAGGACCTATACTTTCTGGCATCCCTGGCTTCTTCAGACCAAAATACACTGGGAATGCGGTCCTGACCTTCCAGAGAACCAGTCCTGTCCTCATGGTCATGGGAGGTAAGTGGTCTCAGGTTGGACTACTCTGCTGCCCGCACTTTATCCAAATGAAGGCTCATTAGCTGCATGGCTAATGCACATCTCTTAGTGTCCCTATGTTGTTTCTCAGTGGTTGAGATTCTCAACCTTCACGAGACCAATGTTTGGGAAGTGGTACCCATGATGCAGGTTTATTTACAAAGCTTCCAGTCCCAGGCTTAGAAAGTATTAGAAACACTGTTTTAAAATGGGGGGCGGGGGCGTTGGGGTCAACTTGAACAGAGCCGGGATTTCAAATCTTTTCATCTGTTAATAAATTTTCTGACAAAGCTCAATTCTTAAAAGTAATTTAAGAAGCAGACATTATTTCCAAGTGCCTGAGGTCTTAATTTCCAGCTCTACCAGCTTCTCTTTTCAGTATTTTTGTAGATGGGATTCCATGTCCTAGGAATATTGACTAGGTGATAACGGCCTCCTATCAACGATGAATGTTTCCAGTGAAAATAGATTGTGTGATTATAAATACTGACAACAGAAATGTGAAATGACAATAACAAAGGACATGATACTTACCTAAGAACTCAAGTACCTTGGTGACCTTATTATTTTCATCCAGGTTGACGTTATACGCCACCATTGATGTTTCTGATGCATAAATAGGTTTAAAAAGATCTGCAACTTCATCTGTGAGAGAGAGAGAGTATAGATAGATAGAATCAGAGTTAGAGACCGTTGCCTTAAGTTATCATAACTTCATTTATTCAACCTTAATTAACATATGGGGAACAATGCTCCCCATATTTTTCTCTAACTCCAATGATATAATAATTGTTAAAATTGAATATAAAATCTTAAAAACATAAAAACAAACTTTCTTTAATGCCACCTTTTTATACTATATAACATTTCTCTATTTTCAGTCTTACTGAAACATTGTGTCAAACCTGGGTGTCATGAAGCTAACATATGCCTCAAACAACATGAGCCAGGTGTTTTATGCGTATTATCAAACAGAGCAGTAAAAACTCCTTGTATTTCTCCTGTCCCACAAACAGGATTGATTTTTCCTTGGCGTGGAAATCAATTTACCTTTGGTAAAATGATGGAGTTTTGGATGGAAGCAAATTGTCATTAGGCCTAGAAAATTTGGAATGTTCTTGAGGTCCATTAGAAATAATTTAAGAGAAAGATTTCTTAACAAACATCCCCACTGCTTAGAACAAACACTTTGGTTATGGAAAAATGTGTTTGGTGTTTCTAACCACTAGGAGTTGTTTAAATTTTACCTAAATCAACCTTATATTGAAAGTAGAAAGTTGTTTTAAGATTATCAAAAGTGTGTTTTTAATTCAAAATGACATGGATCTCTAAACTGCACATAGGTCTATTGGGCTTGAATACTTCAGGTTATTTGGAATGATCAGGAAACCTTTTGTGTACCTAAGAGCCTTGTGAAAGAAACATTTTCTGAATGGGATCTTACTTTCAACTGAGAATCCGTCAAAATTGGAAGGGTTATCCAAAACAATAATATCATGTAAATATTTGAGCAGGATGACATTAAAATATGGGATAACTGAGGGATCCTGATTATTGGTAGATCTTGAATTCACATTTATGAAGGTCTTGTCAAAAACCGAGAGCAATATTTCAATGCTAAAATCCTTGTAGCGCAAAGTCAACTGTACTTACACTCAATAGCAAAAACATTGCCATGGATCTGTGTCCCAGTTGCAGTCTTTGGCACACATTGCCCATTTTCCCTTGAAAGGAAAGCATTCTCAAGTTGGGTGATGGTGAATAACAATAATTTCCTCTATAAATAGGATTTTCACTGTACACCCTCGTGTGACCCTATGTCAGGTATACTTTAGGGCCTACAGTCAATATGACGTTAATAAGAGAAAGAACTTGTCATCCAAGGCTACACGACATTCGAGGGATAAGGATGTCATTGTCTACACTGGAAATCACAGAGTACTTCCAAAGGGATGGTACCTACCAAGAGGAACAATTATCACCAAATGGATTCCACTTGTATCTTCAAAAATTATACCATCAGAAATAAACTTCATGGAGCTCCTTATATTGACAATTCTTAAAATTTGTGCTCTACTCTTTATCAGAAAAAAATATTGGTCACTCAATTGAGTTTTATTTCCTTCCCAATTCCCAACAGATGTATGGTTCTCTCTTGTATTTCCAGACCTTTCCTCATAACTTTCATTTGTCAAGGTATTTGCAAGTGTGGAAATATTTCAGTCAAATCTTTTTCTTCCTATTGATGCCCCTTGCACTTTCCTCTTTGTTTATGTAGCAAATCTGTTTTGTAAATGTCAAGTTTACTGTACATCCCAATGCAATTATATATGGATATGAAGAACTGTAACACATAAAACTTGACAATGTCATTTCTGTCAATAACATACATATGTGTTTTAATCTTGTGAGGAACGCGTCTCTCAGTAAGAATGGATGTTTTTTGATACCCTGCATGTCTTTGTTTTCAATCATTTCTTCTGTTCATTTATTTAGGTTTTTTTTCTTAAATCTAAATTTTGGTGTGGCAATAATTGTCTTGGAGAAAAATGATTAAAGTATGTGAACTGTAGGTATTACTTATTTAGTAATAAAAATGCAGTTTGTGTGTGTGTGTGTTTGTGTGTGACAGAGAGATAAGAAAGACAGAGACAGCAGACAGAGAGTGAGTGAGAGAAGAGAAGGTTGTGTAATACCTACAATGTACTTATTTGCTTAGAACGCTCTCTTGATTCACATGATGAAATTGGGAATGAAGAAGAGATTTGAGAATTGAACTTTGTTTTTTTAATATGTCATGAGTCCATAGAAAACATCAGAGTAAAGTAGACTCTTTCAACTTCTTTATAATTCAGGAGACATCCATATCGAGTAGGGGGCACTTAAAACTAATAGTTGGAGAAACAAGACCCTTCATGACCAAGTACAATTCTTCCTGCCACCATCTGCTTCTACAATTCCTTCCACATGTCTGCTGTGCAGGTTCCTGGCCCTGCTCCCTATTTCCCAACATGTGATTTTACATTAGTAGCTGTCGCTGACTAGAGGCATATTTTTTTGCTACTCCTCCTTCTTTCTCTGAAATTTCAATCCCACCTTCAAGTTCATCCTAAACCTGTCATATCACCCCTGCTACTATTCAGACTCACAAGACTATAATCATTTCCCACTTCAGGATGGTAACTTTCACATTGTCCACACCATTATTGCAGAGTTTCACACACAGTGTCATTACTAGTTTCAACACCTGTCTTACTTTCACTGTTTGACCATTGAAGGTTAACCGGAAACCTTCTTTATGTTCCATCTTCTTTTTCTTAACAACATGCCAGCAGTTTGCTAAACAACCAGTCCTCTTAATCAGATGAGTGATTCATTAGATATTGATATTCATTCATTCATTATCTACCTGCTAACACTGCTCTGGACCACTATGCCCTTAATGTGAACCATCAGTAGCAATTTCTACATGGGCCACTCAGGTTCAAGCCAGGCACTGTAGGAACTGAGAAGTCCAAACCCTTGTGGCTGCCGTTGTTCCTCTTTTTCAGTGAGGTGTTTCCTGGTGGCGCTTCCGAGCTCTTTATTGCCTAAGCAAACGCTGCAGGACCTTGTCTAGAGGGTCATTCTAGACCTGAGGGACATCTCCAAAGTTCTTGGTAAGCACAAAACTCAGTCCCCCTCTTGAACATTACATAGATATTCTAGAGCCAATGGGGGAGTCAGACCCTTTTTCCACCTTGATTTTGATACAAGTTTTGTCCTTTGTTATTATTACTTACGTGACATAAAATTTGAAAACAGCATTGTCATTTGCTGTGTCAAAATTAATTGCACGCTTAAAAAGCCAGAATGGACCATTCTCACTTGTCTTTTCTGGGTTACTGGCGACAACATAAAGGGTCCTCCATTCTCCTGAAAGCTAAAAGCAAACTCCCATCAGAAATTGTCATCAAACCTTATTAAAAAATTTTCTCTGACTTCACTCATGGAGAGACTCTCATCCCTTGCATTACAAAACCATCCATCCTTACCAAAGGAGGTGGAATTTAGAGAATCTCTTCAATACGCAATGTAACAGACAAACAGGAATTGAGATATTGTTGAAATACCTTAAGCTCAGTTATCACATGCAAAAATTCCCACTCAACATTTCTTTAGCTGAGCACCTTCGGTTTTACATTTACAGATGAAATATATAACTAGTCACTTTGTAGACTCTACCAACAACACAGCATCAACATCAGTCAGGTGCAGTGGAAATGTGTGGATGTTTAAAAAGTTCATTTACTTTTTTCAGTCCCTGGCTTTGGTGGCACTTGCTTCTCTTTATTTTCATTCAAAACTATCTTCTTACATTGTATTTTGACAGCTGGCATACCAGCATGCAGATAAAAAATTTTTTCAAAGCCGGTGAATTTTGGTGTAACCATTTTAGTATTGAAACCTCCAAGAGATATGCTACGTTCTTGAAGTAACAAAGCAAAGCATTATGCTTTATTATTTCAAGTAAGGGAAAACGCAACTGCAACGGAAGAAAAGATTTATGCAGAGTATGGAAAATGGACTGTGACTCATCAAACGTGTCAAAAGTGGTTTGTGAAGCCCCTTGGTACAATTGTCATTTTACCAAAAATTCTTTTCCGAGGAGCTACTTTATGCCTTGGAAGATGATTCACAGCATCCATGGCCTCTACCCAGTAGAAGCCAAAGTGAGAGATGCTGACACAGTCAAAATTTCCAAATTAATGGGGTTATTGATGAAAATGAAAAGTGTGCTGGATATCACAGAGAAAAAGAAGGCCAAGCAGACTTTTTAGCAAAACCAACTGGAGGATTTGATTAACAGCTACTCTGCACTGGAGGAAGATGGCTGGGCTTAGGAGCACAAAAATTGGATACACATGTAAGGACTTGAGAAAGGACAGACACACAGACACACATACACACACAAGACTTTTTCTGAGGTACCTGTGAGAGATCCACTGGAGCCTGGTCAGCATAAACCAGACTGAGTACAAGTGTCAGCAGCAGACCCTTCATCCTTGGCTTCTTGTTGGTTCTTCTCTCAGAGGTGTTCAGAGTGGGTTACCTGTTGGAGAGACTCGGAACCTTTGGCTCTTTATATATTGTTTGCCTATAGGGGTGGCATATGGTAAACCCACCTGCCATTCATTGTAAAAGATTGTTATGGAACAGTGAAAATAAACATCCTGGTGTACTGCGATGTTTCTTGATGTTCTTCCAGATACTGGGCACATTCCCCATTTTCCTCTTGCTTCTAGAATACTCGTTTGAAGATATCCTCCATTGTAGGATAATAACCTGCCCCTGACCTTTCATTGGATGACTTTCAAAGAAATCACTCTGTTGGACCCAGTGCCTCTCTTCCCTGCTTCCTGAGAAAGACAGGAATATCTACATTGTGTGCTTTGGACGTCATGAGCTCGGAGAAGGGAATGCCAAGATTCCTGGGTGCAAAGGCTTGGTCTAGGCTAATGCCCAGCTCAAATATGGGTGAGGTTCTGTTTTAGGTTGCTCCATTTTGTGGGCCACTTATGACAAGTCTTGTAGGGTCCTGAGAGTGTGTTTCCCCTCTTGCATTGTTTTGACTATTTCATCATTACATTCATATGGAATCTGATGGCAGAGTGCTTACTTAGCAGGGAGGAGTCATCTGAATCACGTTATTATCTTTTAGGAAATCAAGATGTCTGTCCATAAAACAGGGCCATCTTGGAAGATGCTAAAATTATTAATTTCTTCAAAATGACATGAAGGTGCTCATCATTTTCCCAATGTCATACATTGTAGAAAATTTTATTTCTTTCCTTTTTGTGTTTCCCAGGGTCCTCTAAAGTTCACATATTCAAAAAAACCATCATATTCCCTACCCAGGCAAATTGTGAAATCTTTTTGTATACCAGTTGGTAATTCACGAAATCTTAACACTACAAATAACTCTCTATGTGGTTGTGCATACTGGAATGTGTGTTTTTTCATCCCATGAAAACCATCTTTTTGTGCCAATTATAGGTACAATCATGCCCCCACTAAAAATGTCCGTCCTCAAAAATTTCCACCAGATTACAATGACTTGGATTACAGTTATCGCTGTCCTGTTTAAAGGAACTTGGTAGTTAGCTCAGTGTCATACCCAAAGTCACAGCTCTCAATAATTACTTATTATTTCCTAAGTAGCTAGTTATTATTATTAATCATTACTCTCAGTGTTGTTATTTAGATTCAACCTCAGTGATGTTGGGGACCAAGCAGTGGTGGTAACGGCTCAGACAGAGAAGGGACAAACCTCACATCCCCCATGACACAGCAGCTCTGGGCTCCTCCCCTTTCCTCTGGCACTTTTTCTCCAGAAATCCACTCTTCTATTGGCTTCCCCTAAGTCTATAAAGCAAAAGAAAACCCTACAAGCATATCCACATAGACCCCAAGATGCCTCTGAGAGTCACACTAACTCCAAAAAGTACATGTGCAAGTGTAAGTGGGGTAAACAGGTAGGGACAGGAATGGAGGCCATATCACAGCAATTATGCTAAGGCAGGGGAGGCTGAGCTCACAGGGATCTCAGGGAGGTGACCATGTCATAGGTAGAGCCAGGGACTGTGGAATCTCACTTGTCCCCTCGAGTCTGTAAGAGCCTTGCAGGTGAGCAGGGAAGTAGCTATGCATGCCACTGTGACGAAAGCACTATTCGGCAAGTTAGACATAAATTCATACTTGTAAAAAAAGCCCAGTGCTTTCACCTGGGTGAGTGTGTTAGTGTGTGTGTGTGTGTGTGTGTGTGTGTGTGTGTGTGTGTGAACACTTTCATTTTGAGACTAAAAATACCAAGTGGCCAAGATATTTATGTGATGAAATTGCTAATAACCATTGTTACCTGAGGAGCTCTAGTTTCCTTTCTATGCTGCTTTAGAAAGAAACTTCATTTCATACCCTCTTATTTCAGAAACTCTACATGAGTACACCACCATAATGTCAACTACAACACAATACAGTGAAGCAAAAGAAAAGAATTATTCTTAAGAGCATAATTTTAATTAGAAAAATTGGGAATTCACAAAGTATAAGTGTGTAAATCCTCCATGAAGTGTATTGATTGAATGGAACGGTTTATGTATACGAATGTTACACATTGGTGTTTCTTGCAAGCATTTGTGTGATAATAATAACATTCTCTGTACATTTTGTTTAATCAAATTAAAGAACTTCAAGTGTTAATATTAATGAAATTTCCTTATATTCAGAAAATTGTTTATCTTTTATCCTTTATAAATTTTGTTTACATTCTGGCTATTGTGCAGGTTAATGAACATATAAGAACAGTATTCTTCACAAATGAAATATTGTGTACGAGAACCTCATAGGTATGTGAATATATATATATACACACACACATATATATATATATATAAAAACATAAAACCACAATATGCTTTCCAGTTAATATCACAATTAGAAATGAGAATTCTTACCTTCCTTTCTCTGTATTTGATGTCTGGAAACAAAATTGTATTTCATTCAGTCATTCATTCGTTTAAATATTTATTTATATTGTTTAAGCCATTACAGTTGTCCCCCTTTTCCGCATTCGCTCACCTTTACCCATCCTCCACCCCCTTCCCTGGGTCCATCACCACCCTGTTGTCTGTGTCCATGGGTCAGGCACACAGGTTCCCTGCTACACCCTTCCCCTTCTCTCACTCCTTTTTTTCTCTTCCCCTCCCCTCTGACAGCTGTCAGTCGGTCCATGTGTTGGTGCCTTTATTCTTAATTTGTTCATTAGTGTATTTTGTTCTTTAGATTTCCCATATGAGTGAGACCTTATGCTTTTTACCTTTTGCTGGCTTCGTTATTTTACTTAACACAAAATTGTCCAGATTCATCCATGTCATTGCAGAACTTAAAAGTTAAAATATTTTCTTTAATTTAATTCTTCTTATTTTTTTATTTTTCCAAATACATTTGTCTCTGCCTTCCCCCAACACTTTTCTCTGCCCTCTCCCCCCTCTCCATTCCTCAATCCTTCCCCACTTTGGTTTTGTCCATGAGTCTTTGCTATATGTCCCTTGACTTGCCCCTTCCCTTCCTTTCCCTCACCCACCCCTCCCTCCTTCCCTCTTGTCTCTGTTGGTTTCTTTTTTCTTTCAGTGTTGCTGGTCTTATTTTCCTTACATCTTTGTTTTGTTGGTTAGGTTCCACTTATAAATGAGATCATATGGCATTTGTCTTTCACCCCCCTGGCTTATTTTGTTCAGCATAATGCTCTCTAGTTCCATCCATGCTGTCATGAAGTGTAGTAGTCCTTTTTTTCTTTCTGTTGCATAGTATTCCATAGCATAAATGTACCATAATTTTTTGATCCAATCATCTACTGATGGGCATTTAGGTTGCTTCCAACACTTGGCTATTGTAAATTGTGCTTCTATGAACATTGGGGTGCATAGGTACTTTTGAATTGGTGTTTTGGGATTCTTAGGGTATAGTCCCAGCAGGGGAATCCCTGGATCAAAAGGCAGTTCCATTTTCAGCTTTTTGAGGAAATTCCACACGGCTTTCCACAGTGGCTGCACCAGTCTGCTTTCCCACCAACAGTGGACTAGGGTTCCCTTTTCTCCACAGCCTCACCAGCACCTGTTGTTTGTGGATCTGTTTATGATGGCCATTCTGACCGGTGTGAGGTGGTACCTCATGGTGGTTTTGATCTGCATTTCTCTGATGGCTAGTGATGCTGAGCATCCTTTCAAATGCCTCTGGGCCCTCTGTATCTCCTCCTTAGAAAAGCATCGACCCAGGTCCTTTGCCCATTTTTTGATTGGATCGTTTGTCTTCTTGGAGTAGAGTCGAGTGAGTTCTTTATATATCTTGGAGATCAAACCTCTATCTGATGTATCATTAGCAAATATATTTTCCCATAGGGTTGGCTCCCTTTTCATTTTGCTGATGTTTTCTTTTGCCGTGCAGAAGCTTCTTATTTTGATGAGATCCCACTTGTTTATTCTTTCCTTTATGTCCCTTGCTTTAGGAGACATATCAGTGAAAAAATTTCTGCGTGGGATATCTGAGAGTTTCCTGCCAATGTTCTCCTCGAGGACTTTGATGGTGTTGCGACTTATATTTAAGTCTTTTATCCATCTTGAGTTTATTTTTGTGTATGGTGTCAGCTGATGATGCAATTTCAATTTTTTGCATGTAGCCAAACGTCCAGCTCTCTCAACACCATTTGTTGAAGAGGCTGTTATGGCTCCATTTTATGCTTCTTGCCCCTTTGTCAAATATTAGATGCCCATAGAGACCTGGGCTAATTCCTGAGCTTTCTATTCTGTTCCACTGGTCTATGGGTCTGTTCTTGTGCCAGTACCAGATTGTTTTGAGTATAGTGGCTTTGTAGTAGAGTTTGATGTCCGGTATTGTGATCCCTCCTACTTTGTTTTTCTTTCTCAAAATTGCTGAGGCTATTTGGGGTCGTTTATGGTTCCACATAAATTCTTCAAATGTCTGTTCTATTTCTGCGAAATATGTCATGGTATCTTAATAGGGATTGTGTTGAATCTATAAGTTGCTTTGGGTAGTATGGATATTTTGAGGATATATATTCTTCCAATCCATGAGCACGGTATATGCTTCCATTTATTTGTGTTTTCCTTAATTTCTTTTTTCAATGTTGTATAGTTTTCTGCGTACCTCTTTGGTTAAATTTATGCCTAGGTACTTGATTTTTCTTGTTGCTATATCGAATGGTATTTTTTTTTCTGATTTCTTCTTCTTCTATTGCATTGCTGGTGTACAAAAATGCCTTTGATTTCTGAATGTTGACTTTGTATCCTGCTGTTTTGCCAAATTCACTTATTAGGTTGAGGAGTTTTTTGGTAGAGTCTACAGGGTTCTCTATGTACACTATCATGTCATCTGCAAACAATGATAGCTTTACTTCCTCCTTTCCTATTTGGATGCCTTTTATCTCTTTCTCTTGTCTGACTGCTGTGGCTAGGACTTCCAATATGATGTTGAAAAAAAGCAGTGAGAGCGGACATCCTTGTCATGTTCCCGATCTTAGTGGGAAAGCTTTCCATTTTTGCCCGTTGAGTATGCTATTG